TATTATTATTATTATTATTTACGGAGAAAAAGAATCTAACAAAAATTATCAAAATTTTTAACATTAATGAGATAAATCACATTACCTGTATTTTTACATAAATTTAAAAAATACTGAGAATGAATTATTGCACTGTTTTTGAAGGGCAATAATATTCATTGTATTTCACCCACTCTATTGTCTAAATACTAGTCTTAAATATAATTAAATAATTGTTTGTAAATAAATGCAATCAGTAACAAATTAACGTATTTGCATTAAAAATATGTATTTTAAAAAATCTCATGTAAAATGAGAGGGGGAAGAGGAGGTCGAACAAAATCTCATACCTCATCAAGGAGGAGGAGGAGGAGGAGTTCAAAAATCGCCTCTCGTAATTTATGGACGGCCCCTTAGCCTTCAAATATACTGCATAAGCAGTATGCGAGAAAGTAAAAACTAGTGCTAAAACAGCTTATACATTTCCGCCCTTAGTAACAGTTACGTAATAGTATTTTTATCGCAATTTCCGTCTGTATTAACACATTAGTCATTTTTTGGAAAATGTATTACAAATAGTAGAAGATTAGGTGCTAAAATTAAAAAATTCAAATAAATATCAACACAAATTCAGTTAAAACTGCGTTTCATAGATTTAAATCATGTCCCAACAATGTGGTGGAATTCACCTAAGTAAATGTAACCCTTTTTGTTGAGGCTGCGAATATAGCTTGAGTTTTTTGGGAGAGCTTCTGAAGGTAAGTTGCACCAAACGAACTGCAACATGTCCTAACCCTTTGACATGAGAAAAATTCTGAAACGATAAGTATTGAGATTGTTAGCATACAACGGCCAACGGCATAAGTATGATTAAGTATTGAAGCAATTGTCGGTGTTACCTGATACAAACAAACAACCAGTAAAAACTGTAGGGGGGAAAAGATTATCTGTGCACGTTTTCTTGGGTTCCAGAATCCCTTCCCGTCATTTTAACTAAAAATAGTTGAAAGGCGAGTAAAAGTTTAACACGAATAAATAAAAATAAATTTTAAAAATCACAAGATTTGAAAAAGTCATTTTCGTTTCTGAGTTATAGAAAACTTATTTGCATCGGTACTAAATGCAAGTATGGTTTTTCTGCATTGCTAACAAAATAGCAACTCGCCCTTATCTCTACTCTTACCATTAGAAGCAAAAGGAGAGTTCAACAAAACGTGTGCCTAGTGAAGCTACATTTACGTCCAGAAGCAAAACAAGGGGTCATCTCAGCATTTGCTAAATGGATCGGGGAAACTGGACAAAAACCTGATTGAGATGGGGGTCATTGACCCGGAAGCTGAAGTACATTATTTGTTACAAAAATATTAAGTCTTTAAAAAATATACAATACAATTTAATGTAATTCATTACATATATCGATGTTTTTTTAAAATAAACATTATTTTTCTTTTTGATAATCAGTGTCAGGGCGAGAAAAAATCTACTCCCTTTCAGTTTACATCGAACTCGCTCCTGTTAGCAAGAGGGAGCCAAAGCACGCGGAGGTGCTCGAAGAACACAAAGCCGCTATCTTCGGAATCGCTTCCACATTAACGTTGCAATGCAACCTCCAGTGCAGCCAATACATGCACGTTAGCTCTTAAAATTGTCACTAATGGTTCCAGAGAAAAATGGGTGTTAGTAAAGACATCTATGCCTAAAAGCCATGCGGAACCTTACGGGAGCACCTCACCTGCTAACAAGTGAAATTTCATATTGTTTCTAACTGTTGGCAAGTATTACATCACATTACAGAAAATCTTCAATCCTTACATGGGTTAGTTATAAATACATACAAAATAGTTATGACATTCTGAGTAAGCTGATTTATTATATTTACATACATACATGAAGTTTCATGTGGAAAGTTCTAAAATATCAATTTCTCAATCTCTTTACAATTTGTTTCAAATGAAGTATTAAACAAGCTGCATGGAATTTCAACGTTCCAAGCACAGTTTAAAAGGCACCATGATTTGGCAGAATACGTGTAATATATTATGTCACTGACTTTTCTTTTAGGAATGACAATGTATGCTACTAATTCTCTGCAATAACTAATTATCTTAATAAAAATGTAATTGCACATATTAGTGCTAGTAACAGAAATTTCTATCAATATATATTATGAAAATAGTACTTAAGTCAGTTACATTTTGAGACATAATTACATTTTTTCATGTTCATATACTATTTTCTTGGGCCAGAATGTTCAAGTATGATTCATTTTGAAATCTTTAATATTTATTTCAGGTTATTTACTATGATGATAAAGTGGTACAACTGCACTAAGAAAACACACTTTCTAGACGATTAACTATGAAGTCAAAATCCAAGAAGCCGTAAAATAGTTCAAATACAATATTGCAGACAAATGGCATATGTGCATTAAACATTGAGCAGTTTCATTTTTGAGCTGAGAATTTCTAAATCTCACAAAATTAATTTACAAAGATACCAAAGCAGTCAATTTGCAGAAACAACTTGTTATTTTCTACTAATAATAACAATACACAATAAAGGAATGTTTGAGATATGGCAGTAAAGAAGGATTAGGCAACTTTTTTTTTCATATAAATAAAATAGCTTCTAAATGAATAACTGAACTTATATTATTTAGATACAAAACTGTCTTATAAGTATTCATGAGGACTAAAATGTAACGCCTTCATTATAGTTTCAATTCCAGTTCATCTCACTGAAGTATTTACATTGCCGTTTCCCTCAAAGTTTAAAAAAATATGAATACATACTTACAAATTAATATCTATACAAATATGTGATGAACTTTCTGTAGAATAAGCTACATAACAACATCAGTATTTAAAATATCCACATATACAGAGATTCATTTCTTAGATACAAGATGATGATGAATCAAGAATAAAGCAGCAAATGAGTCAAGTACATTGAATTGGAGTACGATATGATACATGGAAAACATTAATTCAAGATGGCTGTTGCCGATGAACAGGTCGTCGTAGTACAAGTGCACTTTCCGCTGAGATTATAGGCAATTCATTTTCGAAGTGATAATTGATGAGGTGGCTTACACTTTCAAACATACGATCCTTTGTTCGAACCTATAAGAAATCGAAATTCAACAATTTCAAACCCAAGCAAGAAAATGAATAACAAGAAGTACAGAGTTAATTATCATTAAGTAACTATTATAACTATTGGCATACACTCAACATTTTGGATATGGAAAAACACTGGACCAACAATTACTACTACCGTACAAGGAATTACAGCCTAAATGTTTACAGCTACAATTTCCAGCACAACCTCACAATGAATTTTGGATTTAAGACAGTCTGCTTCTATGGAGTGCTTTTGAGCAATGCAAAATGATCTGATTGTTTTAATAAATACAAAAAAGCAGCTGGTTTACGCATTTGAACTATGAAACTGAAATTTATCCAAGTAATACATAAGTTTGCAATTTTGAAATTTTTGTCCCTATTTTCAAAACCGACAGACATTTTTCAAATGTTTGTTCTTTTGTAATCCACTGAACAATACTGTCTTTACTGTGCTGGTTTTTGATCAGCAGCAGCAAAAGATGAACATTTTTTGTGTAAATAACTTTTTTTTTTTTCTGGAGCTTCAGCAACTTACATTATTTCCTGTCAATATGTTAGCGAGTAATTGGAAAGGTATAGCAAAATCTGTTTCAACCTTCTCAAATTCACAAAATTATTCTTCAGTAATTTACACCAGAAATTATTGTCCAAAATTACTGAATGTAATTTAACATACAAAAAATGTTAATTTTAACTAGAAACTGAAGCAACAAGAAAACTTCCTGAACCATACAAATGTAAAAAAAAAAAATACATAAATATGAATGAATTTCAGACCAAATAACAGATATTGTATTTGCTAAACTTTTTCCAGGCAAATATTAATTAATGCATAAAAAAAATACACCTGATTAATCTGACCTTTCAAAATGGAAAGCATTTGTAGTTAGTTTATCTTGATGATACTAAATAATTGCAATATTTATTTATTTATTGATCAGTGTTTCCAGGTGCATCAACAGCTCAGGTCATTACTCCTCTAAACGTAGTGCATGTTTTTCTCATGAGAGGTGGAGATGATATGTTCCTGTTGGATTGCGAGATCTGATACCAACCTACATGACACCTTGCAAGATTTTCCCCAAATAGGTACTACTCGCGCACCTTTTCTTGAACGATGAATCGAAGAAATGCAAGTAGTGTGGGGATATTTGTAACAAAATCGGCTACTATGAAGCAATGCTAATCTCTTGAAAATCAGTCATGCCTTCGCAATATTTTCAATAACTCGTGTTCTAACTTTCTCGGGAGTTAGAGTTATTTGCCTTCAACTGTTTATTGTGCCAGAGAGGGGGAAGCAAGGTCATCGTTCAAGGAAAGTTGCACTACCCCAGCTAGGGCAAGCTCTATACTCCCAACATGTGTGGTAGTGTAAGGCAGGTTAAGTGTGTGCATGTAAGCAAGGTGTGAGGCTAGGTCAGAGAAGACGAAGGAAAAATTGCATGTGTTCCGAGGCCCTTTTGAGAGGGCACTGCTCAGGCATTTTCCAGTTGATCAGAGAAACCAAGGAAACTGCTAATCCAAGCCAGTTGCCATGATAGTAAAATTAACAGAAGTGTATGATTAGCATTTTATTTACTTATTTATATCAAAAAAAGTTAAAAACTGTGTGTGACATGCTATGGGCAGAAATTAATTTGAAGTTACATTTATGTCCAGAAGGAAAACCAGGGGCCATCTCAGCATTTGCTTAAGGATCAGGGAAACTGGAGGAAAACCTGATTGAGTTGGGGGTCATTGACCCAGAAGCTGAAGTACAATACTTGTTACAGGTTCTTTACAATTATACAATCCAAATGGTAAATAATACACTAATGTTGTTGTTAAAATTAATATTTTTCCTTTTGGATGCTTGGTATAGTCTCTAATATTATAGAAACAGTTGTGCAGCAGAAAAGAGTGTATTTAAACTTTTGTATCGAATTTAATCGTTTAATGTCATCTGGCAATGTGTTGTTAAAAAAAGGACATGTAAGCTGTGGATTCTGTCACCTGTGAATATGATTACTATGTCGAGTGTTGTAGTCATTTTTAACAAATACCACTGATTCATACATCAAGAGACAAGGTAATGGTGAAATACCTAGATTAATAAAGAGAGGTTTGCAAGGATCATGTGGATGGGATTTGCTTATTATTCGTACAATTCTTTTCTGTAATCTAAAAGTCCGAGAGCTATAAGATGTATTTCCCCAGAATATTATGCCATATCTCTAGTGGGATTGAACATTCGCAAAATATACACAACGAGCAGTATGGAGGCTGACTGAATTTGAAAGAATTCTGAAAGCGTAGCATAAAGAACTTAATTTAGTGTTCAATTTCTTTATATGGACATACCATTTAAGGTTTGACTGAATTGATCTGAATTTATTACATTTGATGGAAACACCAAACACAACACTCAAATAAGCATGGTCTTAGCTCAGATACTACAACAGAGCATGTGTCAATCTCACACTCATTGAAATTGGAGAATAGACACAAGCACTCTGTGTCTATTCTTCAATTTCCTATGTTAGAATACAAAGAAAATTACTTACTACTCCTTCGGGATCCACTAAAAGCAAATGCTTCTTTATGCCACCTTGCATACCTGTCAACACATACTGACCAGGTGAACCCTGAGATTCTCGCACAAGAAAGTCACCATCCTGCACAAAAAGAAAAAAGTATATAATACAACTATTTAACCTTATTTAAAAGTTCTACTGAGGTATCTTTCAATTTTTTATTCATTATCTTATTTCTTCAATAAAAGTATTCAGAAGTTCCTTTTTTACCTTTGCCAAAAGCATTTCAGCTTCCTGTCGACTTACTGGACCATGGAACCATATTTCCTTTTGCAATTGAATTCTTTGAGAAGCCGGTGTTATTGCTTCAGAAGTCATTGCAGAACTGAATGGTTCTGAAAGAATCTGATGTCACTACTTTCTCCATTTGTTGCTTATTTTATGAACAATAATTCAAATTTGAAGTTTCAGTCTAGCATGCTGCACTCAACTGATCCTATTATTTCCAATTTCAAAAAAATAACTCTTAGATTTCTGCAAAGCTGTAATGGAGCTCATTTTCAATCAAGTAATTACACTGAATAGATTAATTTAGGTTTAATGATCATTGATTACGATCAAGTAAGAATATTTTCATAATGTAATAAAATAAAGTTAACAATCAATTTGCACTCTGCAGAAATCTTAAGACAAATAAGTACAATTCAAAGGCAACTTTCTAAAAAGAACTCCAATGTGTAACATGGAAACTTGAAGGAGAATCATGTTTTGAAGTTTACTAATACAATTTTTTATGTTCACATTGCATGCATAAAACAATGATGCTGGGCAATTTAACAATGATGTTAACATAAGTAATATGTTTTAAAATATCTGCCCCAGATCTCAAAAATTAATTCACAAATCATTGAATACTTACGCATATCAAAAACATCCCTGTTATTATTAATAACAATGTCATTAACATAATCATGTTCTCTCCGAGGGGCAGGTATTGGAGGAGGTGGTGCCTCACAATTCAGATCAATCAAGTTGCTTGATACTGACACAGGTTCTATAATTACAAACAAAACAAATTAATCTCATTTGGTAAATAAATTTAGTAATACAAAACTGATTTCCTAAAATATCACACTGCCCCTTGGTCTTGCAAGAAAGTTGCACTAAGGAATTTTATTTCAGGTAAAACTGAAGTTTTATATATAGCATAGATGTTTCAAATGTGGTCATCGCATAAGTAAAGAAGGCAATTCGACAAGCTTATAAACATTGTCCAATGCATTTCCAATGTCGATTTCCAAGATTCATTTCACATCCTGTAGCTCTTTGGGTAATTAGTTGTTTTACAAAGCTAAACAAATACACTTTTGGACCCACGACTCTTGAAAATGGATTAACAGAAATGATGATTACAGTTCTGCAAAAAGCTCTATAACATGCAATAGCAACAGGAATTTTTTTAAACAAGGTGACTAAGGGCAATTAAATGAGAAACAAAACATCTAGTGCAAGTTGTTTCATGCAGATGCAGTATTGAAGCATAAAGTAATGTTCATATTAATAATTTTTGTAAAATATGAATAATTCCTTTTCAGACTTTAATTTCTGAGGGGTATATACATAGTCTATGAATTACTTTTGAGCAGTGGCGCTCCCAAGGAGAGGCTCACAGAGCTTCAGATGTTCTTGAGGCAAATAACACATGGCCACACATGTAGTTTTCGCAAATTATCCATAGTAAGAAAGCCAATCAATATCTCAGTTGCATATGTTATAATGAAGTATAAGGCCAGAGAAACACAAGCACACTTTACCGAATGTTTAAGTGAGTCTTTTGGAGAGTTAACACACACGAATTGGGCAGGGCACATGTGTGTTGTCATGATGTAATCTATTCCTCAATATTAAATTTTCAAATAATTTCATGTACACTTTTACCAAATAATAGTAGTTTTGGAAAAATTTGGGACAAATCATGTCAAATAACCAGCAAATAATGCAAATAACCAGCCAAATCATTTACATTTTACTTCAAATCAAAAAGGTAAGATAGAAACCAATACACTGAAATCAATGGCAGAAGTGCTATTTTTATTAAGCATATTGAATTTCCAAAAATTAAAGTGTGTGTGCGTGTGATTTTATTTCCAAAGGTTTTGTTTGGATATGAGACTTTCTCAGTATGATTCAAAAATTCATATGACATTGCAATATATCATTACATCACCATCACAAATTATTTGAGGAAATGTGTGCTGTTATAGCCCCACTAGATTACTTTATAACAATGATTTATGAAGTGTATGTGTTTGCTTGGTTCCAGTTATAAATAGGAAGACATAATAAGTAGTTTCACTGACATTCACTTTATCTTCTGCAAGGAAATTGATAATGAACAAAAAAACTGTTGTTTTTTCTTGAGGACGAGTTAATAAGTGAATGTTTCTGCTATAAAGGAAACAATTAACAAAAGTATGGTCATATTTCTATCGCTACATTTTGTCCCCTGCCATTTCAGTGAAAACATATATATTGTATTTTAAACCATGTAAGATAATAGAAGAAACTAACTAAAATGTCCTGGAAATATATAACATTACAACATCCCCCCCCACCATCCTTTCACAAATTATTGTGAATTTAATAATCAAGTCTCAAGTTTCAACAAGTCACACCTTACAAGCTTATTTAAAATTCTGAATATGGTTCACTAGATTTGTTATTAAAGTTAAACATTAAACTTACCCCTTGCTACTGTTCTGTCGTTTGTATCTCTCTGTTGGACTGGCGGATGTTCTCTTGGAAGTGTGCTACTAGTTGAGGCTGATGCAGAGGACTTGTTCATGGTTTGTGTGCTATGCATGTTGGGCAGAGGAGGCACAGGAGGAGGACTCAGCTCTGGAGGAATTTTACCGGGCAGATCGTTATAGTAGTCTCGATCATCCCCATTTAAAGTGCTTCTGAAAGTCAATACAATAATTCATCAACATTATCATTAATAATCTTTGTTGTATGACTATCTCTTGATAAGTCACATTAAAAGAACAGAGGCAAATTGTTCTTACACTTTCAGTGGGTTCAAGGTTTTCTACCACTTAAGAATGATTATAAATTAATGCATAATAAAATCGGTAATACTATAGGATGAATTGCATGCCACAAACACAAGGTGAAATCATCCATGCTTAATGCAAAATTCAATTCTACTCTCTTTCATCTGTGCAGAGCAGTTGCCACCTCAGTAGCTTGCATTGACTGTTGGCTAATATGTGTTAACAAATACATATAAATGTATGTTAATGAACAAAATTTAAAAAATTAAGAAATAAATATCTAGTCAGTAACTTACGTGACATAAGAGGGGCGAGTGAGGAATTCTTTAAAACGCAATTCAAAAGCTTGACCAATGGTGGTGATGACATCTTGAGCTAAACCTCCACCACATTCTAAAACATAGCATGCTCGCCAATCTTTGAGGTCTTTAGCTACATAAGCTACAAAATCCAGAGTATCCTGAATGCACAAACAGAACACAAATCATTAATATACCTCAATTCACATTTCAAAATCTTAAACTAATGATTTTCAATGAATGTTTTAATTGTGATGACATCACAAAATGAAATATTGTTTTCTGAGAATCTAAATTCATGTGTGAAGAGATGTAGTAGGCCACAAGAAAATACTTTTACTGTAAATAAGAAAAGGTATTCGCATTTAACCACAAATACTCATGAAATGTTCGCAGAATGTAATTTAAACGTAACTAGTGGTGTCACAACAGGACATACTTTTTCTTATTTGTAATGAATTTTTCATGAGATGGCTCTTCTGTTAATGGAAAACTAAACAAACAAAGTGTGCGAAAAATACTCAGTGGTAACGTGGCCCATTTTTGTCTAATTATTTGACTTAGTGTGTCTACATTCCATTCCATGCTTGAACTCAAGGCCTTTCAAAATTTGAAATGCATCTTCATTATTTTTTGTGGCACTTCATTTGAAGATACATTTTTAATGTTTTCAAAAAAGTAGCTCCAAATGTTTATCTTTATGTATTTTTAATGTGATTAGACCATAGGGCATCAATAAATTTAATTTAGATATTTTCATTAAAACCTCTGAAATTTTGAAAATTTCAATTTTTTCAAACATCTCCAAAACTGAAGCACAATATTTTCCTCAATATTAGATCTTCAAAATATTTCAATTACCTCTTATCAACATAGTAGTTAATGGAAAAGGAGTGTTTAGAAATAACACAGTGAAAGGCATAACAAAAAAACAACAAGCTCTTCTGTAAACTATTGCAATTCCAAGAAAAAAAATGTTTCCCTACAATGACATCAATTCCATGTTGACTGCATGACAAATGCCAGTCACCCTGCAAAAGAGCCTATTCTCCCGAGGAATAAATTGCATTTGACTTAAGACAAAGAGGGACATTTCTCGAATCCCTTTGCATAACAACTTTTTTATTAGTATTCATGTTCCTGGATCTTGCTTCCATTTTGCTGCTGTTGCAATTAGCAGTAATCAGTTCAGAAGTATAAATATTCATGTATGTGTGTGAGGAGTTATAAACTTTTTTGACAATGAGTAGTTCACACTTCTGAAAGCATCAGCCAGTGGATGTTGAAAAAAGCCAAAGTTAAACACTATCATCCTCTTACTTTTGTTGTTAAAATTTCATTATTTTTAATTACAATTACCTATGTATTTTTTCTGCTGTCTGTAGAAATCTATTGAAGTGCAGTCAAATCTTTGATAACACCAACATTGATAACATTAATTTTTGATACTTCAAAGGAAGTTTTCATCCCATCAGAAATGAGTAAAATTATACTGTAATAAAGTCTTGATACCTCAAAATTTGAAATAGTGAATTATTCGATAACACAAAAGATTCTATTATTTATTGGGGAGGAAATATTATTGAAAACTCAAAGAAAGCATGAGAGAGATACTGACAGAGGGTGTGACTCCTACAAATTTTTATCAAACATTGTCCTTGCTTAGTGTTCTTGCCCTGTGAAAACTCACCACTGCCCTTCAGATATCCTTGCATGCTTGGGCAACTTGTCTTATTCTCACCTTCTGAACCCAAAACACACCAAACAATGAATGCAGTGAGGTGTCTGATGTGGTGAGCAAAATGATGCAATCAGGACTATTACCAAAGAACCACCTACTTCAAGCCCAATAGACCAGGTTCCTCTGCGCGAAGAGCGGAAGGGAAGAGAAGCTTGAAGTGCAGCCAGACACTATGTGGTAAACACATGTCGCGCAAGCGAAGGAACGTTAGGCAAAACACTATGGCAACTTCGTCTAATATCTCAAAATTTTGATAAAATAAAGAATTATTTCTTCTGGAGAATTTCAAGATATCAAGGTTTGACCTTATTAACAGTATTTATCACATTTCTCTGAAGTGTTCAAAAATGTCAGAAATTTATAACATATTTCTATTTTGTGATTTTTGTGATTTTGTGATTTACAGCTGCCTCTGATGTAAATCCTGTTATAATGTTAAATCACTTGTTATGCTTACACATCACTACAGTGACAGAAGTATAGTAATATTAAGAACTTTTGAACTTGTGCTCTCATTCTGTCTTACCGTATCACCACCTGATGCAAATGAAATTCTAGGCATATCATGGCCAGCAATAACGCGTCCAGATTCAAGTGCTGTAAGAACAAGACTGCAACTGGAAATGGTCAAATTAACATTTGCTCCCGCATGTTCCATCTTTGGCTGGTCTGCTATGGCACGTTGAACACGTTTTTCAACCTAAAAATTACAAAATTGTTAAAAATAAAAATGATAATTTAGACTTCAATATTTGAGTTTAAGAATCATTGATTTAAGTAGGCACATGAAAAATCAATTTCTAGTCATTTAATTACAGTATGATGGTTAGAAAACCTATAATGGTAAGGCCAGCATCTATCTACCCCCCCATTTATTTAGTCTGTCTTTGTCTTACTACTTTCAATATTCAGCAGTAATGGAATATTTTAAAATCAGAGTTAAGAGTTATCTACAGGAATGCGGTCAAGAATTCAAAATTAATTTGTCTTTGAAACAATTTTTCTTTCAAAAATACTTGTTTGTAATCTGTGCATTACAATATCAAATGAAACTAGACAGTCAAAATTTGGTTGTTGTGTAAATTATTCAAAATAAAAATTATGGTATAGTGACAGTCTGGAGTTTTTGATAAACATTTCATCATTGGACTCTTATTTGCAAAAAGAAGTACAACTGACTAACATACATGTTTATTTCCATCTCACTAATCTAACATATTTCATGCAGTCTATAGCATAATATTTGAAGAAGTCCATTATAAAACTTTCTAAAGCTTCTTGAATTTTAAAATTATTTGTGAAGTTATCAACAACAAATTTAGAAACATATAATTTATGAAGAAAATTCAACAGAAATATTCCTACCTTTCGTTTTTTGTCAGCTGTTTTTAGACCAGCTGCTTCACAAACCCTATTGATGCATTCCCTGAAATAATTAATATTTATTCACTGGAAGGTTTTTCCAAGATATCTCAAACACATACAATTAGAACTTACTTGGCAACTTGTGACCGAGTGTCAAAGTCAAGGCTTTTCATAGAAGTAAGAATTTCCAAACAACCTATGTACTGTAGTAAAATAAGAATTAGATTCAGTATTGTGGTGTAGCATGTGTCTAAAAATCAATAAAATATGGTTTCTTACCCTAACAGCATAAGTGATCCCTTCTTTGGTGATCATTTGATCTGAATGTAACCATCCCCTGGCAGGTTTACTGATGAAACTGTTACCTGATCCAGCAGCTCCTTGCCCTTCAGGTAAAGGTCGAGGCATTTTACCGACCGATTCAGACACTACATAGTAGATGCTAGCATTAAAATGTGTAAATGTAACAGGAACATTACGATAAAACATTTCATTCAAATCAATTAAACAGACGGCCGAAATGACGATCAGTAATTTACCATTCGTTTAAAAAGAATTTTATCAGTTCAACTGGTCAACGTAAATTCAGGGTTTTGGAGGCATTAATTAACCTTAGCTGTATCGCGAAACCATTTTCCGTCAAAATCGTGAAATTTGCTTTGTAGCATTCCTAGATTATACGTCGCAAGAAGCAAACTAATGTCTTGCCAAAGCCAGGATTTCGGCTGATAATTTGACCTTTCCAAAATATATAAAGAAATGGCCATTTACATATTTCCGTGATAATTCCTGCCACTAAATATGTTTATGGAGTAAAAACCCAACAAAAAAACTTAACTGAAGTATACTTAATTTGGTACCTGAAATTCCTCCAGATGAAATCCTGCACTGAAAGATTGCAATATAATTTTTAAGTGGATACGTTGGTCACGGCCTACCAATATTCATGATCCTTTGGCATTCCTCACGACTTCCTCCATGTTTATACAGGATCCGACTGTGACGTACAACCCGCGTGCATCAGCTGAGATTGCTGTCACCGCACCGTGCAACGGACATTGGAAGAGGGAATGAAGGGGAAGGGGTGTGTGTAAATAAGATTGCCGTTTCGTAGATTTCATTTATTTGCATTGAATTTAGTGGATACAAGGTAACTAGTAGTTCATTGAATTGTTACATCTATGATGCAATTACAAAATAAAGAGTATAAAATAACATATGTACACAATACTAGATCTTACATGAAGGCTTTACAATTATCAAAAATGTACATCACATGTAGTATAAAAAACTTAAAATTATACAAAAAGCAAGCAAGTTTTTCTGCATTCCAGAAAAATCTGCTCTAAAAACTAAAGCACTGGCGATTTGCTTTCCAAATCAGAAAGTTCTTTCATAGTCTTTTCATAGTTTGCCTAAACTCTCTAGAAGCTCTGGCAGATTCTCCAGAACAGGGAGTGCACTAACTTGCAAATTTCTCGGATGAGCATATTTCTTACGGATAGCCTGAAACCAAAGCCAAATGATTTATAGCTGCAAACACTTCACCGACAAAGAAACACCATGCACATACCTGGAATTTCGTGTCTGAAGCAGTCACCAAAACCATGCTTAGCCTCTTAACTACTGGTAAAATGTCATTTAGAGTGTAGCCAGAATATTTTACTAGGTTAATGGACCATCTACTCTTGCATTCAGAGAGCCTGCAATTTTAGAAGTTTATTAT